CTCTGGGACTGTACACGTATCATAATTATACAGAAACTCTATCTCTTCTCCAATACTTAGGGTACGTATACTTTGAAAATCTAACATTGCGAATATGAGTGCCCATTGACGGTTATGAAAGTAAAATTCGGGTAGGAATCCACCTCCCAGTCACCCAGGGCGAAATTGAGTGACGCATGTGCATCGCGAAATTGAATGATAGTGTTAATACCAAACTAAATTCTTGACAGTGCATGATTGGACGTCCACAAACGAAACTGAATGCGCAAAGTTTCGAAACTCAACCATGGGAGTAACGGGCTTCCAGAAATCGCTCGAAGGTCAATGCACTTTCATGAATTTGGATGCTGTTTTAACTGATTCGGCCGGGAAAAACTAGTATATCAAACACGCTGCTTTATTGTAGCAGCACCCCTCGGTATAATTTATGATAAAATTTTAGAGGACTAAAGACGGTCAGAGTTTACACCAGGACCTGTAGGAGCGTTAAGCATTTTGAGTGACCACCCTTAAACTATATACTAAGATGAACTTTCTTTTCAGGAATCCTGAGCCTGCACACTTTGTTCGTGTCAGACGATTCAATTGACTGTTCATTGGACCAACTGACGGATGTCATGATAGGTCAATTTGGCATTGCCCCACTCAGCTTACCTCCAGATTCTCGACAAGCACAGATTCTGTCAGGATTGGCGAGTCCAAGAAATTTTACTCTTTTATTGTTATGGAGCACGGAAGTCTGAAGTCATTTAGAACCAGGATGTGTAGGCAAAGAATGGACGGTACGCGCGCGTCTTGGTTCATGGGCTAATTCTCGTGCTAATGCATTTTACACATGTATTGTGCTTGTGACGTAATGACTTTGGTATTTAATAAGATTGGTCCTGTAAGTCCCACCCTTATACTCCCACGACAAACTTGAGCAATTGTGCTCACTAGCACAGTGGACTTGCGTCCATGGCGCTCATTACCAAAGTAGCGTGCGCAAGATTTTCATCTAGCAACGGCATACCAACAGGCTATGTCTGATTTCGCGCACTCTGATTACAAAATGAGGCATCGTCTTTGTTAAGAGAGTTCCATAAAATGGAGCCTAAATAATGAAAATTTTCATGACAAATCCAAATTGCATTATCGTTTTATTTTTCAGTAGCATTGATTTTGTGCCCTGCTGCCTCAAAAAAGTAATTAAAAATGTGGCTTCATATAACCCACAAATTATTTTATTTTTCACCTGAAAAAATTAAGTGTTGCCAAATTCGATCAATATCCATTAAGTAACAACAAGTGTTCTTAGTTATGAAAACTAGACTCATATAAACTAGAAGACTGTCTTAAAAGTAGCGCCTACACTTAGGCTTACATGCTTAGCACTGACAAGGAGGCTGGAAATGGTTGATACTAAGACTAAAGCCCCCATCAGACTCTAACGACGAGCAGAAAGACCTCGCTATACGTTGTAAAATTTCATTCATATAAATACCTGGGACAGGTCTTCTTTCCTATTGGCTATGTCTGATTTCGTGCGCTCTGATATTGCAAAATGAGGCGTTATCTTCGTTAACAGATTTCCAGAAAACGGATTATGAAAATTTCCACGACAAATCCAAATTACATGTATCGTTTCATTTTACAGTATAGCATTGAATTTGTGCCATGCCTAAACAAGTAATGAAAATAAAATGATTTTATTTTTCACCTGAAAAATTGAGTGTAACCAAATTTGATCAATATCTATTAAAAATACCGAGTTTTCCTGGTTATAAAATTGGATTCATATAAACTAGAAGACTGTCTTATAGATTGCACTCAAAAACTGGAAAGCCGCAGGATAAACGTTTATGTAAAAGCAGTTTCAATTTGAACCAAATTTTCGCGTCAAATTGTGTGAATTATCACATTATTTCAGAAATTATGTCCGAATAAAACTTAGAATCTGGAATTATTGCTTTGTCAAACCTTGGACAAAAAGGATACCCTTGTAAGGGCAGACTTTTGAGTAACATTCTTGCAGCGGTGAGTAACGGATCAAGTGCATTTTGTATGCGACTTTATATGCGTACGCGTGAAACTGTACTGTACATGTTTATGCATACATGTACAATGCTGGGGTGGACGCGACAACTTTGTCGTCTCGGTACCGCATTGGTAAGTTTCTACAGAAGTGGAAGTGATGAACAGGAAATGTCACTAATTTAAGGATTCCGCCTAAAAAATGAAAATGAAACCTTATGGTACTAACGAAGTCGGTACAATCTAACCGAAAACCATTATTCTGGTGTTAGATATACCAGTTTGGTGTTAAAAATGGATACAAAATGGCGTTTTAATTTTCGTGCACCGTTGGATCGTTACGATTTTGGGATGATTATTACAATTTTATCCGGTAGATCCAAAATAAATTGCCTAAAATCAATGCATTGAGGGGAATCTTTAATTTGGTACTAGATTTTTGTCTCAGAATACTTATTTTCTATTAATTGATTGATATTAGTGCAAAATTTTCAATAATTTTTTTTTCTGTATTTAGAAAGGGTCCGTAAAATCCATAATTTGTTTTAATACTGCTATGAGATTTACCGTTACATGTCTATTTAAAAGTCTTACAGAATAAAAAGTGTGTGTAACTGTTCGTGATGCCGTGTTTAGATCCTCCTGAAATTTATTCATGCTTCTCCACTTTGGTATTTTACGAGGTCAGTCGTTGACAAACTCTGCGCTATACCGTCATCTACTTACACTAAAAACCGCTGTTGTCGCTTTGAAATTGAAGTGCGCATGCGACCTTGTAGTGAACGTTGTCTCTATGGGGCGTGAAAATACATGTTGACGCATTCGCTTTAAAACGCGCGTGTACGAATGCAAACCTTTGTACGCGTTTGTTCGATAATATATGTGATTCGTGGAGAGTAACGGGAGGCGGCTATATGAGGAGCGAAAAGGTGAAGCAATAAGTGAAGCGATGGGGAGAGTTGCCGTGAAACGGCAAACTTTTGTTTCATGGCGTCTTCCCTCCTGAACATGTGTTTGCCTTGTGGCACGTGCTTCGACTGAACTGCGCATGTACACTTGTATTCCTCAGTATGTGACATTTACCCGATTGCATAAAATTTCCTTGCAGAGTAACACTACCAACAGTCCAAAATGGTCACGATCACGATTCTGAATGCACATATGTTCTATTTTTAGCCTGGCTCGAGCTTTTACAACTAGAAAGCTGGAAATAGCTCATACGATAAGACCTTCCAATCTTCTGGTTCAAGCACTAACCAGTTTATTTCTCAACCAGTGTTGTCTGGCAATCTTGTCTGTCGCCAATAGATTACACCAGATCTACGGATTTGATCGTTGGGCCATTTTCAGACCACCCACAGGTTCTTGGAAAGGTTCAAAGAGCCTGTTGGTTCAGACAATCCGGAATCCTTGCAAGGTTGAGATGGCATTCAGCTATGACATCATATGGACTGCTGCCCCATCTCCACAAGGCTAAAAAGCAACTTGTCAGTTTAGGTAAGTCCAAATTCTGCTGTTAGTTACGACGCGGTTATATTTTGGTTTTCAAACGGTTGCTTGAGCTGCTCGTTTGGAGAGGCCGTATCATTTCTTGGGTTTCAGAGTCCTTCCTAAAGATATTTCAATACTTCAGTGGTTGTCCCCTAGCCTCTACAGCTCGTAAAACCCGCAAAAAGTGCACCACCATAGCAAGGGGGCCTCATTTCCCAGGCTATCCTCATTTTAGGTGGGGGAGGGGCTCGCCACGTGTCAGCCAAGCCACATCACCCCCCACCACCAAAATAATACTTCAAAGACAGCCGAAGCCGGCCTCAGACAAGTTTCTGATGGCTGTCCCTGATAAAAAACATTCCACTGCCTGGCCCAGCCACGGTTTTTGTAAATAACCCACTGTGTAAACACAGGGGACCCCTTAACACACGTTTCCATGGGATTTGGCTGGAGGCCGGCTGGAATTTTTTCAGGCAAGGGGAGGCCATGTTAAGTGACTAAACCACGTTTCTCAGCATGAACCGGGGGTGGTTCTGGCATATGGACGAAAAAAAAAATCCAAAAACACACACCTTAATTAACTCCAGTGGCCTCTCCGGGAGATGCCGTTCCCTCTACCCACCCTGCGACGCGTTCTCAAGGTCAAACCTACACGGTTACTGGGACGGCCTCTTTCGTTGAGTCCATTGCATTTTTCCGGTTTGCAGAGCCCTGAGTCCGTCCTGAAGGTATATTAATGCTTTAGAGGTTGTTCCACAGCCTCTACAATTCTTACAAACCACCAAAACCCACCAAACCTACATCACAGTACCGCGGGGGGCGTTTTCCCAGGCTAACCGGCTTTGAAGTGGGGGGCCCCCTTGCCACACGCCAGCCAAGCCATACCACCACCGCACACCCCCCAACAAAAAATAACACTTCAAAGATAGCCGACAGACGCCTCTGACAAGTTCCAGACAGCTGTCACTGATAAGGAACACTGCCCTAGGCACCGTTTTGTAAA